GGGTCCCACATGGCTCACAGACCTCTCCTGCCGCCCGCTGCTCCCCTCAGCAGTGTATTTCATCAGTCTGCCTGCTCTGCTCCCCGCTCTGGCTCTCGTGAATTCTCTCACCCTCCTGCACTTCTGCCTGTACCCAGTGCTTGTATAAATAATAAATAAATAAATGTTAAAAAAAAAAAAAAAAAAAACTATGGGAGATCATTGTCAATGTAAAAGAAAAACTGGGAAGTGGGGCAAGGCGTGCTGGGAGGGCCATGGGCCCTATGACATGACATGGCAGTCATGCCATGAGCCCCCTGACTGCCCCCCCTCCCTGCAACCTGTGGAGAAAGGAGCCCTTCCATAAATACTGCCGCTGGCAGGGTTAGCCACATGAAACGGATTTCCACCCATCACTCAGTTTAAGAGGTTCTGGCACGTTATTCTCTTCCTGTAGCTGTCTTCCTGAAAATTTCTAGTTTTTTAAATTAGGATTTATGTAAATAAAAACTGAAAATAGAGCAATTTAGCCATTTTCCAGCAATGCCTTATAGAATAAAAAAGAACCTCAAATCTTACCTTTTTTATTTTTATTTTTTTTTTTACAAAAAGCCCTCCCCCCAACCCCCCGCCGGGTTATTTTCTAAACTCACAGAATTATAGAACATTTTGCTCTAAGTATAGAAACAGACTGTTAGCAGATAATACAGGCACACAGGAAACAGTCAACAAATACCTGGATTTAATAATTTAATAACTGTCCTGAAGTGACCTCCCCATCTCGCCTTCTCTCTTACCCACCCTCTCCCTCTCACACACGCCTCTAACCAACTACAGTCACAGGCAAAACCAAACACAGGCCTTTGAAGTTCACCTGGCAACTGTCTACTCAGGAAACAGGAATTCTTTATATCAAACCCAGTTCTAAACGACCTTCCTCTGTTGAATACAAGGAAGAGTTGGGATTTTAAAGGTGATAAACAAGTTATTTAGTCCCACAACAAAGAAGCTGTGGTTCCTTTGGAATTGCCAAGGAAGGATGGGCCACAGGCTGTTCTTGCTGCCTTTCAGGGGATCCGCACATGCGCACAGCCTGTGCATACCTGACCTCTGTGTACTTTACCAAGGACTGGCCCAGGTTCCTGCACATACACACTAAACCCATCTCTGCTGCAGTGAACAATCAGGCAGGGCAAGGCCAGCATCTTCTAGCACAATGCAAGTCACCAAGTCAAGGCATCTGGTGGCCAAAGACGTCAGAGTCACTCAGGACTTTTAAGACTTCTAGGGACTAGACACTTCTTTTAAACACTATTTCCTGTAACTATTATAAATTTAAGAAAAAAGCTAGACGGAAGGATCCTATTGGGGATTTATCAACCAAACAGTGTGAAAATCTGTTTCTGGCCTCTGAATCTCTGAATGGCATGTTAGTCCAAGTCATACAACTGCACATAAACAAATACAAATAAGCAAGTACATTAAGGGCTATGCATCAGAAACCTAGGTGACATTCATTCACTCAAGAAATATCCAAACATAGTGTGGTTAAACAGCAAACACAGGGCCTCCCTGGTGGCACAAGGGGTTAAGTCTCAGCACTACCCCCCCCTCCCCCAGGGAGCTAACCCACAAGGCGCAGCAGACCTCTCCTGTCTCACCCACTGCTCCCCTCAGCAGAACAGTCAATCAGCCTGTTTTGCTTCCCACTCTGTCTCTGGTGACTCCTCTCACACACACACACACACACCCCACACACACCTCTGGCCTATACCCCAACTCTTGTATGCATAAATAAATAAATCTTTTTTAAAAAAGAAACAAAACCAGTAAACACATTATAAATGTATCATAACTGGATTGCACTGGATGATAAATTGGAGATTGATACCACCTGAAGAATGCAAATTGGCACAACCACTTTGGAAAACAGGCATCAGATAGTAAAGCTGAACATGCACACACCTGGACCCAGCTCTGTTCCTAACAGCCCCAGAACTGACACAACCCAGACGGCCATCAACAGTGGATGACTGACAGTTTGAAGCATATGCACATAAAAGTGAATCAACTAGTCACAGGCAACATGATGAGCCTATAAAAAATACAATGCTACAAGAACTTAAAAAAAATTGTGCCTGTATGATGTCAACCAAAAGAAAAAGAAGGATTTAAAGAATACCTGTACTTTGATTCCATCTGTGTAAAGGTAAAAAACAGGTAAAGTGAAACAACGTTGTTTAGAGATTTATATTTAGGGGATAAAAACCATGGAAAAGAAAGGAAGTGATTTCCATAAGCATCAGGCTAGTGACTGGCTCGGTTACCTCTGAGGTTAGGGGAGAGGGTGTCATTAGGAAAGAGTGGCAGTGCTAGAGGCCTCCCTGGTGGCCTAGGGGTTAAGTCTCAGCATTATCACCTCCAAGGCCTGAGTTAGATCCCCGGCCAGGGAGCAACCCACATAAGAAACAGCAGACCTCTCCTGTCTCACCCACTGATCCCCTCAGCACTGTATTTCAGTAGATCCACCTGTTCTGCTCCCCACTGTCTCTGGTGAATCCTCTCAACCTACACCCCAGCTCTTGTAGGCATAAATAAATCTTAAAAAAAAAAAAATTTAGGGCCTCCCCAGTGGCGCAGCAGGTTGAACGCAGCGCCGTGAAGCTATCTGTAGCCACTGCAGCATGAGTTTGATCCCCGGCCAGGGAGCTACCCACATGGCGCAGCAGACCTCTCCTGTCGCATCTGCTGCTCCCCACAGCAGTGTATTTCAGTCAATATGCCTGTTCTGCTCCCCGCTCTGTCTCTGGTGAATCCTCTCACCTCCTGTTCCTCTGGCCTGTACCCCAGCTATTGTATAAATAAAAAAATCTTTAAAAAATAATTAATAGGGAAAATTGATATAAAAAAAAAGGAGTGGCAGTGCCCTGTCAGGTGGCAACACTTGTGTTTTCCTTAAAATGTCATTAAGTTATCAAAATGTTTTATACCCTTTTGTATGATTCATTTTTTAAAAGGTCAAATGAATACAACATTGATTTTCAAGAATTCAAAATCATTACAATTCTGGGGGAGTCTTTTTTTGTTGTTGTTTTGTTTTAAAGATTTATTTATGCATACAAGAACAGGGGTGTAGGCCAGGGGGAGAGAGGGGAAGGTGAGAGGATTTACCAGAGACAGAGTGTGGAGGAGAATAGGCAGATCTTCCGAAATATACTGAGGGGAGCAGCAGTGAGCAAAAAAAGAGAGGTTTACTGTGCCATGTGGGTTAGCTCCCAGGCCAGATCAACTCATGTTGCAGTGGCTGGCGGTAGCTTGATTGTGCTGAGACTTAACCCCTTGCACCACCAGGGAGGCTTCAGGATGTTCTTTTTGAATGTCACTATTAGCCTGTCAATTCCATGAGGTCAGGGACCCTATTTGCCTTTTCCCCAGTATTCAGCACAATACCTTTCACATGGCAAAAGTCCTCATTAAAAGTTTAATATATAAGCACATAAACTCTTAATGTGAATTTTGTTTTAACTATCTCATCTCCTGAAATTACCAATTTGAACTGTGCCCACATGAACACTTCCCTTTGTCTTCACACCAGTGAAGCTTTCATAAATAACTAAAGCTACCACCTTAAATGCTCGCTCTGTAAGTTTATACCCACACTTTGTTGCTGCAGCAACTCTCCCAGCCTTTCACTACCTTTCACGCCTCCTTGTAAGTAAAGATGAATACACCCGTGGTCTTAGATTTTTCTCCTAAATGGGAAAGTTTTCAGCTGCAACTAATTAACTTTAGACTCTTAATGATTTAACTGCTTTGAAGTTGCTTAAGAAAGGGCCTTTTGCCCATTATCCTAAGAACTATTACCATACTATCAACAAAAATAAAAGTTTACAACCAGTTGTATTTAAAATGCATGCTACCTGTTCTAGACAGAAGCCAAATCTCAATGAACATTACTATTTTTATAATTTTATAATAATTTTAATGGAAAATTCACTTTGCACAAAGAGACATTTCTGAAAATGCTTTCAAAAACCTAAAAGGGTACACACAAACCAATATAGACAGACACAGTAGTTATTTTGGGGAAAGACGCGCAAAAGATTTTAACCTTACTTGTAAAGTTTTAATTTTTACACAGAGAATGATTCAAGTATTTCTTATACCAGGGAAAAGCATGCTTAACCCATTTTGCCTCATCATAAGGCAAAGGTATTCACCAAAAAGATCCCTCCCAAGAGATCATTTAAAAATGCTGAAGTTGTAAAGGATTTCCTGGGCTTATTCGCCTGCTCAGTATTTTGCAATAGGAATATGCATTTATGCCATTCTATTAAAGATTACAGAAATCAGATCTGCATTCACCAATAAGAAAGATCTCAGAAGAGAACCCACGAAAGATTTCAGATGAGAACCCACGTTCAACACTGACGTTAAGATCTGAAATGAAGGCAACTGTCTCCCATTTTATGGGGGAAAGCCAAAAATATCAAGCAACTACCTCTCCTCCCCCAAGCGTCAGAAGATGAGTCAGAGCCGGAGGCAGGAATAGGGCCCATGTGTCAAGTCGCCTATGCAGGGCTCCTTCCTACCTCCACCCCTCAGCCTGCTCTCCCCACCCAGGGCAAGTCCCTGCCCCGGCCTGTCCCTGCTGTGGATTCTCAGGTGTCTCTGGCAAAGAGGCAGAGTTATCCATTCTGGTTATTCTTTCTGGGGATGCCTCATAACCTGTGTTCCTAAGGGGAACCCGAGAATGGAGGCCTTTATGAGTCCAAACAAGTAACAATCACCAAGTGCAGCTTGTGCTTCCAGACACACTCGCAACTTTGCAAGAACTACAGCACCTTTGTTCAGGAGACACGCAGAGAGAAGCCGTGTCTAGCCCAGCATCACTTAGCTTGACAGCTGAGTCCCAGGCATGGAAATGCTGAGGGGCTGCCCAAGTCTGACTTTTCGCTGTCCTGTGCTACCTCAGGAGGCTGTTCCCACATCCCAGTCAGCTTCCCCGAGGCTGTGAGGACCTGGATCACCGGTAACTCCGGGCTCCTCTGCTCAGGCTCCCTGAAGGCGAACAGAACCAGGACTTGGCTCTCGGCCTCTGCTCTTCCATCTGTAAAATGGAACGGTAACGCTCTCCGCCTCCCTCTCTTATAAAACCACCCCGAACAGCTAGTTAACACATGCTGGGTGCCTTGCGGCCCCGCGGGGTGGCACCAGGTAGGCTTTATTTTTGTCTTTAAGTCCCTGCACAGCAGAAACTGTATTTGGGACCCACTCTTCCTTCTTCGCCTCCGGATGCCAGGAACCAGAACGCTGGCTGGCACCACGGGCAACATCCACCTCAGTAAAACAGTCACACCACCCACCCCCGCAGCCGCGGCGCGCAGCTCCCCGCGCGCGCGGGCAACTCCACTCGGGCCCGGGTCCTCCGGCGCAGCGAAAGCCACGGAGCCGAGCGCACGCCCGCCCGCCGCCGCGGAGAGACGCCGAGTTGGACACTCGGCGTTGCTCAAAGTCAAGTTGCTCCGACGGCTGCACCAGGAGCCCCGGGAAGACGCAAAAAGCCGCGGCGGGCTCTGCGCCGGAGCCGGGGGGCGCGGGGAGGCCGCGCGGGCCGGGCGCAGCGGGGTCCGGGGGGGAGCGGCGCGGCCGAGGACGCCCGAGGAGGGGCCGGGCGGCCGGGACCCGGGTCGGGCCTCGCCGGCCGAGGGGGCGCGGCAGGGGTGCGGCGGGGAGCCCGCGAGGCTGGGGGCGCGCGGTGAGGAGGGGGCGCTCCGGGGGTTCGGGCCCGCCCCGCCGCGGCCGCGAGAGCCGCCCCGGAGCAGGTGGGGGCGTCGGCACAAAGTTTCCAGGGACGGGGTCGCGCGGGGCCCGGGCCGCGCAGCCCCGCCGGCGCCCCGGAGCCCTCCGGGCGCCCCATGCCCGCCCGGCCCGCCCGGCCCGCCCCGGCCCTCCCGGCCCGCGGGTCCTCACCCGCTCCGCCGCCTCGCAGCCGGGCTCCGTCCTCCTGCGCGGCTCGCGGCTTCTGCCGGCTGGACGCCGCGCGCGCCCCTCCTTCTTCCCTCCGCCCGCGCCCGGGGCGGGCCGCGCGCACGCTCCCTGCGCCCCGCCGCCCTCTCCGGGGGGCGCGCTCCGAGGGGGGCGGGGCCGCGCGGGCGGCGCCGCGGGGGGACGCCGGCGGGGGACGCGCCCGGCTGCGCGTGCGCACTGCGCCCTCCGCCGGGCGGCCCCGCGCGCCGGGAGCCCCGGGGGCGCGCGCTCCCCGCGGCTGCGCTCCGGCCGGGGCCTCCCGCCGCGCCGCGTCTGTCTCCCGGCCCGCGGCCCCTCTTTTCCCCCTTGAGGGCCTCCCCACGGGCCGGGCTCGGGCGGGCGCGCAGAGGCAGCGGCTCCGGAGGGGCTGGGGACAGGCGGGGGAGCCGCGCGGACGGGGAAGGTGTGAAGACGCAGTTAGCGACCGGTCCCCGCCCGCGCGGGAGGGAGAGCCCGGAGTTGGGCCCACAAGGACTGAGGGGAAATAAATGGTGCCCCTGGGGGCCTCGGTGGCCGGAGGCGCCGAGGAAGCTGGCACGTGGCCACCCCCCGCCGGCCGCGCACCACAGGTGCCCGGCTGCACGCGGCAGCCCTGGACTCGCGCTTGCGGGGGCGCCCCGAGGGTCCTGTGCATTTAGGTGTGTGCGCGCCTGTACATGAGTAGATGCAAAAAGGACTTTTTGCAGCACAAGCCCGCGGCGGCAGGTGAGCGAGGGCTGACGACTTCAGACACCTGAGCCTGCTCCACGCCTGCCCCGTCCTCGCCAGACCCAGCTCCTCGCCCGGGTCCAGCGCCGGCCCCCGGGCAGCTGAACTGCCCAGCGCGGGAGTCCTGGGTGGGGTGGCGGGAGCAGGGGCTTGGGGAGGGAAGTGCTAACCGCGCGCTGGGTTTACTCCCGACACCTTCAGCCGAAAGCTCCTGGGGTTTTTTCATGCTCTTCCTGATCCCCAACCGGAACCAGAGTCATCCCGTGGGGGCAGGAATCTCTCTAAAAGTTCGGGCTGCCTCGCGGACAAAAATATAACATCAGAGGCATTTTAATGATAATCTTAGGAGAGCCAAAAAGGCCTAGATAACTTGCTTTTGCCTTCATAAAAGGAGAACCAAAGCTTGAAAATTAGGCGAAATTAATCTTTCTTTGAGAGAATAAAGGATAAAAGACGAGGCTTTCAACTCTTGCCTGGGAAAGGCATCTTCCCAGCATGAAACTGTTGTACCATCAATTCATCTGGTGACTTATTTTTGACATGCCAATACCAAAATAGCAAAAGCTCTAACAGAAATGATTGTATGCCATTTTCATTTGTTTCTCCCCCTACAGTCCTTCCTCCAGTCAGTTCAATGACTCAGCAGCACAAATAGATGCATCCCTCTTCAGATTTAAGTTTATTTGTTCTGCAGAAGGCTGGTTTCCAGAACCAGCTCAAGATAGTGACAAGCAGCTGGGCATTTTCATAGATTATAGGACCTAAGCCCAGCATGGAGAATCATATCCACATCAGTGAAGAGGGGAGAGGACAGCTAAACTAGAGTTTGTGTAAAATAGAGTGTAAGATCTAGCAATTAAGGAAAGCAGGAAGTGCTTGTCAGTAAGACCATTTAGTGACTGTATACATATGCCTGTGGGTAGAGATGTACTTTACGCCTTTACAGAATATGTAAGTGTGGACTTACACTGCCTACTCTCTTTCTCTCCCCACCGCCCCCCACCCTAACTTGAAAATACTATCTTCCAGACCTGCACTGTGCAATAGAACTTTGGGTGGTGGACATGTTCTGTACAGCACAGCAGCCACTATAGGGTTTTGAGCACTTGAAATGTGGTTACTGTGACTGCAGAGATGAATTTTTTTTGTTTTATTTTATGTATTTATGCATACAAGAACTGGGGTGTAGGCCAGAGGTGCAGGGGATGAGAGGATTCACCAGAGACAGAGTGGGGAGCAGAACAGGCAGATCTACTGAAATACACTGCTGAGGGGAGCAGCGGGTGAGACAGGAGAGAGAGGTCTGCTGTGCCATGTGGGTCACCTCCCTGGCCAGGGATTGAACTCATGCTGCAGTGGCTGGCAATAGCTTGATAGTGCTGAGACTTAACCCCTGCACCACCAGGGAGGCCCACAGAAGTTTAATTAATTTTAATTAATAGCCACATACTGGGCAGCACATTACTAGACTATAGATATCTATGTTTATTTGTTGTCAACTAATTAGATGTAGAGACATCTTAGAGGTCATCTGCCACACAAGTATGACTTGCCTGCGCCCAGGAGGAGTGGGTGCTCCTGACTACATCTCACCAAGCAGTGCAGCTTTTGTGCAGAGAGCGGAACTGATTAGACAGTAAGTAGAGGGTGGAAACTGCTACTCTGCTTGGTTTCTGATGTCTGTCTTTCCAAAAATATTCTTATTTGCTAGAACAGTGACTGCTCCTGAGATTAACCAGATCTTTATGAGTGCCTCAGAAAGAATAGCTGCATCTTCCATTCACTCATTGCTTCTGGTTAATAAATTAGCAGCAGCTTTGCTGTATCTGTCAGAACTGTGGAACAGCTATGATCAAGACTCCTCGGTCTACATCAGTTTGGTTTTAGGCCATCCTAGATTTCACAGATGCCTGCTGGCTAGTTCCTGCAACTACAGAGTATATGTTATTGATACCTATACAGAGGCAAGTCTCTACTCCTCAAAAGTAGATCTTTGCGCTGTTACCTTAAACACATGAGGGGAGCAGTGGACACCAGGTATCTGGGAGGAAATACTATAAATATGAAAAACACAGAAGAACTGAGGGCAGGCATTCCAAAAACACATCTACCACGGAAATTTGGCAAATTCTTGTGCTATTTTATAAGATGATAGCATCTTATATGGCTATCATAAAGATTAATTTTGCTAAATGTAAAATATCATAAACTAATTTTTAGAGTTCTCACAGTTGTTATAAAATATATTTTTCCATTAATAAAGAAATGTCACATTACAAAAACAGAAAAAGCATCACCTATAATTTTACTGTTTAACAAAAACGGTGATTAGCTCTTTCTGGTCTTTTTTTAATGCATGATGTTTTAGTTCTCTGTACAGTTATTAACATAGCTGTACACATAGTTTTGAGACCCGACTTCATGTTTCTTGTGCTAGGCATTATATAAAGGGGTATTACAACATGTCTAGGATAACTAGGTCATTTATTACCTGTTTCTGAAAATTTTCTGCCTTTAATTCAACCCTGTGAAGAATGTACAGAGAATTCCAATATAAACAAATTCCTTGAAAAACATACATTTATTTCTTTTTAGCACTGCTCTGTGTCTTTCAGATTTTCATGTCCCTCTGTGAGAATTCAGCATGAACTGTAGTTTAGGAAAATCATGTACCCTTTCCTATGTGGCTAGAGTTAAATAGAAACATCAGAGGCTCAAAGGGGCAGGAAGAAAAGGGGAGGGGAGGGAAGGGTGTGCCAGGTGTATTATATATACCTTATCCCATTTAATCTTCATCTAACCCAGTCAGGAAGGTGTTATCAACCACACTTTAGATACCACGAGGGGTTGAAAAACTTGCCTAAGGTTGTGTCATTAAGTAGCAGAACAAGGAATAACACTCAGGTTTTTGCAATCTGCCCGGCAGGTTAACAAGAAAGCCTATTTACATAAGGGCAGTAACAAACCACTCCCACTTCTTTCTCAATTCTTACATTATAAACTTTTAATTTTTTTAAAAGATTTATTTATTTATTTATACAAGAACGGGGGTACAGGCCAGATGTGCGGAGGGTGAGAGGGTTCACCAGAGACAGAGTGGGAAACAGAACAGGCAGACTGACTGAAATACACTGCTGAGGGGAGAAGCAGGGGAGGCAGGAGAGGTCTTCTGTGCCATGTGGCCTGCTCCCAGGCCAGCCGGGGATCAAACACAAGCTGCAGAGGCTGCAGATTGCTTCATGGTGTGGTGCTTAACCCCTTGCGCCACCAGGGAGGCCCCAATTTTTAAATTTTTTATACTGTTATTATTGTTTTAAAGATTTATTTATGCATAGAAGAGCTGTGGTATAGGCCAGAGGTGCCTGA